TAACAACCCTGAATAAATCAAATATTGAAAATGTAGAGATTTTTTTCCACTTTATTCTCAGCTCTGCTATATTTTGTTGGCTTGAATTATGTATGCATTCTCTGTGAAATTATATTTAATAATCTTTAGAAATCTATAATTTTATACATTAATTGGAAATTCTTTGGCCAAGAAGTGTGGCAGCCCTGATTATTAATTTTTGCTGCTTTTAATTTGTAACTCTCTTTGCATAAAATTGTATGCTTAATGAAAACAAATGCAAAATACACCTATTTTATTCTTCTTCAGTTTTGTTTTACTTCCTGTTCTATTGGTTCTGGTTAAAGTAAAACAGACTTTATTGATTTAAACTTTATGAAGTTCTGGTTTTGAAACTGGTGATTTTGATTGATTATGTGTACCATCTGTTTCCTGTGTTTCAGCTTCTAGATCTATTCATGGTGTGGGACTGGTCCACGTACCTGGCAGACTATGGCCAGCCCACCTCAAAGTACCTGCGGGTGAACCCCTCCACTGCGCTAGCACTTTTGGAGAAGTATGTATCGTTTGTCCTCCTTCCTTCAGCTTAATGCTAATATCAAACTCCGCTGAAATGGTTTTTATAAATATGATGGTTATGATGTTGCCTTAGAAGGCAGCTGGTGGCTCACTAGTTCCGGGAACAGAACCTCAAACATCAGTGAACAAAAGTTAGAGTGATTTGATCAATGGAGCTCTGCTTTGTCCTTTAAACCTGATATATAATCTTCATCCTCTTTCTTTTTTCTTACTTACCAATGCCAGAGTCAACAGAGGGTACGTAAATCCAACATGGATTTCTCTTTTCCATAGTAATGTTATATACTGCATGAATAGACTCTTACATACATGTGACATATCATTTATTTCATCATCATTTATTCATCCCGCACCCATTGCAGCATGCAATACTGTACAAAGTGGCTGAATAATAATATAATTTGAATAATTCACATATCATGATACATGTGTCACGGATCACTATATCATTACTAATTCATGATTCTTACTGCACTGAAAAATGTCTGTTTGATACTCATATTTAAGTGTGTTTAGGATGCATATGCAGAATAGAATCAGCATATGATATAGCATATAAATCATGAAAAATATGCATTTACACTGTAATTGTTGTTATATTTTTATATATATATATATATATATATATATATATATATGTGTGTGTGTGTATGTAAAAATATTAGTTAAACATTAATTCAGGTAATGCATACAAAGCAGCATTTCTGTTTTTCATTTAAAGTTGAAATACAAAAATAACTCAAACTTGAAAGAAACTATATAGAAATAAAAAAACGAATAAAAATACAGATTAAAACAAAATATGAACAAAAATGTTATTAGTATTTAAATGATTCTAAAATAACACTTGTTTTATATAGACGTAAAAAAAACTAATAAAAATTATTAAACACAGAACAAAATTGCTAAAACAAATGAAAATGAAAACAAAAAACGTTATTAGTATTTAAATGATTCTAAAATAACACTGGTTTACAGCAGAGCTGCAGTCTGTACAAAGTGTGTATAAAACAATTTAGATTTGTTTAATATGTTTGGTCAGTAAATAATTGTATTATTTTGTATTTTTAATGACTTTACACCTAAAACAATAATAATAGCAGTTTTCTGGACTGTGATACTGTCTTGTCATACATTTATTTGACTGTAATATTATGTCCTCATTTTGCTTTTCCAGGATGAAAGACACAAGCAAAAAGAACAACATCTTCTCCCAGTTCAGGAAGAACGACCGTGACAAGCAGAAATTGATTGAGACGGTGGTGAAGCAGCTGAGAAGTCTGGTGAATGGAATGTCCCAGCATTCCTAGAGTCGTCCAAACACTGGGCTGGGTTTGAAAATGTAACTTAGAAACGACCGTTATGCTTCTTGCTTTGACCCCTTTTTTTCCAAATCCAGTAACTTGCTGTAAGGTAACTACTCTTAAAGTACTGTGATATATTTTGACTGCATCCTCCATGTCTTCTGCCAAAATATTCACCACTGTAGGTTAATAATGTAAATATATGGCAAACGTGAAGAGTAAAAAAGAAAAAGTGAACAGATGAAGTTATGCAGTAATTTTTTGTAATGTATTTTTAAAGGTTGAGAATTATGTTTTGTACGTTGTGAAAGTGCAATGACTCTTAACACTACACTTGAGCTCTGGAGGTGTGTATGTGACTGGTGATGCTGATGGTCATATTGCAACCTGTAGGAAATTCTCCCTAGTGTAACATGGATGAAGTTTTTACTGTAAATCATTTTAAATATATTTAACACTGCTATGGAATCATGCTTCCCATCGGTCTGCCTCGAGTTGAAGTGGACTCAAATTAGGTAACTTATAAATGATAAACATTTGCATGAGAATGCGTCATTTTTTCTTTTACGTTAGCAGACTTTGTTCCAACGTATGTGCACAAACAGCACTTCTTTATTGAAAAGAATCTCAAATTGTCAGCTGCATTTCACTGAACGATGTACAAATGCACCACAGAATAATATAGAATTTTTATTTTCTCAGGGTGAAATGAAAGCTTTGGGTTCAGATGCTTTAGAATCTCATTTTTAGGTGAAAATAAATAAGCAATAATTGGTCCAGCTACAGATTCGGTGCAAAGTTGCATTGAAAAATTCCTGATTCATTTCTTTATCCACATGGTTTTATTTTGTTTCTTCACATTTATTTTGCCCAGGCTTATTGCACTGAAAATGATTTAAGTTTGCCTTTTAACAAGCAACTGTATGCTTATGTATTTAAAGTACCACTGTATATATCATAATATTTTATTAAAATGAGGGAAAAAATGGAATGTAAAGATAAAACATTTGTCATCTGTTTCCATATTTCAGTTTTCAGTTGATGGCTGTAACAACACTAATATTGGCTTCACTTTAAAATAACACTCATAACTTAAAGACTTGCTTAACAAATAAGTATTTCTTTACATTCAGATATCAAAACAGATGAATCAAGGTTTCAAGACATTACAAGTATTTGAATGCACATTAACTAATGATTTGTTAAGCATTATGGAATGTTTGTTAATATTAATAATGAAAATTACTGTAAGGTGTCACCCAGATATTCAACATTTCAATGAGGCAAACAGAATCATAATATTCAAAAATCTGGAGTTACACAAACCCAAGTGAAAACCCAAGTTGTTTTCAAGGTCCACCCATTTTTATTTGTGTGCTTTAATAAAATATCACCACAAAAATACGTTTGATTCATTGTTTTTGTTTTTTGCTTCTAATATCTTACCACTGTGTATACAGATCAGACTTTTTTTTTAATTAAATACATACATTAACTAATGATTTGTTAAGCATTATGGAATGTTTGTTAATATTAATAATGAAAATTACTGTAAGGTGTCACCCAGATATTCAACATTTCAATGAGGCAAACAGAATCATAATATTCAAAAATCTGGAGTTACACAAACCCAAGTGAAAACCCAAGTTGTTTTCAAGGTCCACCCATTTTTATTTGTGTGCTTTAATAAAATATCACCACAAAAATACGTTTGATTCATTGTTTTTGTTTTTTTGCTTCTAATATCTTACCACTGTGTATACAGATCAGACTTTTTTTTTAATTAAATACATTTTTTTAATAAAATAAAATTAAGATATCCAGCCATGCTAAACTTCTTTCTGGTGTATTATCTTATTCTATTGTTGGGTATACATTCTTTTTCATATTAATGTTAATTGTTAGATATTCAGTGTAATTGTTTTAATTGTTGTTTTAGTGCATTTAAAGTCATAATTCGATTTGAACAGATGATGGTTTGATGATATTTCTAAACTTCAATTCCCATGTATTCCAGTTGGGACGTTCTCTATGGGAGGATATATCGGAAAACATTCAGAACGTCATCACTGAATGTGGACCATAAACACCTCCCATATTTATAACAAGAAGTACCAAAGATCTTGGGCTAACCAGTCATTGTTCTGTTTATTGCGTTTTTGTCAAATCTAAGGAATAAACGTTCATGGCAGAAATCTCATCCTTCTCTGGGGCACAAGCAGCTATCTTCTCTTTTTCCAGATACAGTAACACACGGCACCCTTTACATAAAATAAAATAATAATTTCTGTGTCCTATAGGTATAGATTTTTTTTTAATGGAAACCAACAGATTTCTAGTTTTCCAAACAATAAAAGTAATTTTTTTCCCTTCCTTCATCCTTTGTTTTTGCTACTTATCGTTGTTTACATCACGACCAACAAATAAGAACGTTACAAAAGATTGAAGCAGAACATTGATAACAGACAGTTAAAGATTGCTTAAAAAATACAATATATTAAAGAAAGAAAAGTAAAAATATGTTTTGGTATCTACTTTGCAAGTTTTTTTCACCTAATAAAGTGCTTTTTTTGAAGGACAACTTGAGATGAAATAAGGGGCCAAACTCAGTGGTCAACTCCTTGGGGGACCTTCACAAGAAGAAACGCAAAGTGAGACATTACACCAATTTAAAAAAATTCTTAATCATAAGATTCTTAGATTCAAGATTCTAATTCTGAACCAATCTTGATCTAACAGATTTTGGCAAAGGCTTTCAGTCACACAACTTCGGAGAGCTACATTCACTCTTAAAACTAAAGTTTCTTTATTGGCATCTGTGGTTTCATGAAGAACCTTTAACATCCATGGAAATCTGCCAATTGATTTTCACATAATTTCTCATTCACATCCCTTGCAGATAAGATTCATTATTCGTACTTTCAAGCTGGTCTTCCGGTTTGACTTTTTTTTTTTTAACCAGAGTGCACTTAGAAACATATTACACTTGAATACTCTATATGAATAATTCTGACAAATTATTGTAATATTCAAATAAAATGCAGCTTTGTTACATTGGCTACTCCTTATAAATTAACATATTATTAACATGCTAAGTATACGATTGTTGAATTTTTTTTGCATTTGGAATTTGTAGGTATTTGAGACAATACAGTTATGTTTGAAACTAGTGCCTAAATATAATTGTTCAACAGGACTGCCTTACAATATCTAGCTTCAACTAATGTCAAAAAATTTTAAACTTTCTCCATTTATTTCAAAAAATCTCTTAACTCTATTCTTTCAACAAAACATGTTTTGTAATTTTATTAGGAATAGTTTTAATTTAATTAGTTAACACATTTTTTAGTTTGTACCTGTGTCCATACATTCTTCAGGCTTCTGTTAGTCTTTTATTTACCAGTTTCTTAATGACATCCTCCAGGAAAGAAGAAAAAAAATTCTTTTTTTATTGGGGAATGTCATCAAGAGCTTGTGACAAATTTCAGCTTCAGAATGTAGCTACCTTCAGTAGATAAATATAAATACATATAAGTGAATATAAAGTAAATAAAAGCATAAGTAACTTTAAAGAAGTCATGCCTAAATTTTGATTATAAATGGTTAAAAAAATACCAAAATGAACATTAAATAAATGTTATTGTGCCATCTCAAAGAGGCACAAAATCACTTTCACAGACTTTTTCATTAACTGTTCCCTCCTGGTGGAATGACCTGCCCAACTCAATCCTAGAAACTGAGTCCTTAGCCATCTTCAGGAAACGACAATTCCATCTTTATTTGACCCTCTAACTCTAGCACTTTCTATTCTATTTTAATTCTACTTTATCTTTTAATTTTTTTTATTAAAAAAACACTAGCTTTCTATTTTTTCTGTTCTATCTACTTGTTTTTCTTTGTGGGTGTGTGTGTATATATATATATATATGTATATATATATATATAATAAAAATACCTTGCTACGTGTACTGCGTTAGGCTAACCGAGACTTGTCATTTGCACTTACATATTGTTGCGCTTTTGTTAGTTTTGATTGCTTCTATTGTACTCATTTGTAAGTCGCTTTGGATAAAAGCATCTGCTAAATGTAAATGTAAATATACGATATACCTTTCTTTTTAAGAAGCAGAGTCTAAAACTACTGCAGAACAGAGCTTACCATATAAGCTCTTTTCACCCATTAGTGACACAGTTAGGAACATTTGATATATTCCACTATCTAATCGTTTTGTTTAGTTTGTCAAGGAAAGAGCCTTTAATAGCAGCAGTATTTTTAAATGCAAATAAAAGGCAGAACGAGGCTGGAGGTTATATAGCTTAAAGTCAGTCTTCAGTCTGACCCTTTAGTGAACTGTTTGGCTGTGCTCTTGTGACCCCCTCCTGCTATATATATATATATATATATATATATATATATATGTGTGTGTGTGTGTGTGTGTGTGTGTGTGTGTGTGTGTGTGTGAGCATATGGAAAAATAAAAAATGTAAAATTAAAATTTAAGATTATTTCTTTACTATTAAGTAATAGTTTACCTTACATTGTGTTTTCTGTAGATTGTGTGTTTCTATTAATATAGACCTGTACAGATTATTTTCTATAAAAAATACAGTGTTATATATATATAATTCTATATATATAGAATTTGTGTTGTTTAAAGGTTTTTTTCTGTTAATGTGGTCATGATTTTTATGAGACAGAGTAATCTTAACAAGACATTATTAGCAGAGCTTTTAAAAATTGTATGTATATTGGTATGTTTTATGATTTAATTTATGGATCTATGACATAGCCTGTATCACATCTTTCAGATGGCAAAACTGGAATTAAACAGCTTTCGTTTACCGTTGACAATTCTTTGTAAAATATATAAATAACTCAAACAGAAAAGTTTGGTCACAAATGTTGCCAGTGGATTAAATGGGTTAAAATACAACCCCACACTGGATAGTATCACAGTTTACATACAGGATACAATACATTTGAAAAAACACATACCAATAACAAAACACTATTTGAGAGCTATAAATAGGAAAACATTTATACAAGCTTTTTTCGGTGAACTATCCTTGAACTTCAGGTTGCATTGCTCTTGGCTCAGTTTGAAAGAGTTTATTAGGTTCGGCAAAGCATTTCACACACTGCTATGACTCTTACGAGGGAAAACAAGTCTCATAATTGCACAAATTCACAAATAAGGCCAAGTTTGAAGGTTCACTTAGGGCATTTGGCACGGTCAGGTCATGTTGAAGAATAAATATGACAATGGCCGTGTAATGGGTTAACATATGAACGCGTTGCTTGCATAGACACATGCCTAAAATACCCTCAAACATAGATATGTCATGCGTGAGTTTTCCCCATCCCATCACACAGGACGAAAGGTGAAATGCAGGGCAGACACACATCAAAGAATGAAGAGAGGGAAAAATTTGGAGCCATCCTGTCTCTTTAACTGACTGACTTCCCAGCTTGTTTTTTCCACGTTATGGCTGTCGTAAAAACAGTAATTCAGACTATGGGTGTTTGCTCTTCATGTACCGGTAAACTTGCTCTGCTCCGTCACTTTTTAAGCTGACCCGAGTTTGAACCCACAGCGAGACAATAATCATATTTATGATATTACTGCACACACTGCTCCACATGAAAACAGGGCATAACAGCTATGGCACAGTTCCGGGTTAAAGTCTAATATGAGATCAGATCCAGCAACACAGCCCTGACAACACATAGAACTGTCAGAACTTATTTCAGTCACTGACCTCTACAACTTAAAATATGTGATATACACAGACGTATTTCACAGTGTTCACAGATTTCCACTATTGTAATGTATGTTGATATTGTAATCAGATCCTGATAATGACCCAAATCAACACTGTATTTTTTTTATAGCAAATAATCTGTACAGGTCTATATTAATAGAAACACACAATCTACAGAGAACACAATGTAAGGTAAAATATTACTTAATAGTAAAGAAATAATCTTACATTTTAATTTAATTTCCATATGCTCACACACACACATATATATCTATATATACATAAACTGTACATTTGTAGATAAGCATTCTAAACCTGTGTAATGGCCTTTTAAGGACCCCCACGCCAAAGAAGGACAAAAAGAGGAACATTTAAGGGATTTAAAATGTAAAAGTAGAGCTTCACAGTTTAAGCTCCTCAATTAAATCCTCTACGGCATTTCTGATGGCACACAAGCCCAGAGTAATGAGTGTAAACGACGGGAATATTGGTAACAAAAGAGCCTCGGATGCTTCCTTTTGTGCCCGGGGAATTAACACCTTTTCAAAGTGAAATCTCAGGATTGTCTGCCTTCTACAGGAGGTGGTATTAAAATGCCCCTATAACAAATGGTTCAGAGTTTGGAGCAG